GATTATAACAATATAATAACATAATATATGAAAATGAAATAAAAATTATTTTAAATAAAAAACACGCGCCCAAGTGGGTCTCCATTATTTTGAATGGATGAATCAGGATGATGGGTTATGACACGCAAGCTCCGGGGAGGTCAAACTACCATCCATGGTGGTTGACCACCTTCTTCTCCGGCCAGTCAAAAAACCTAACCTACGAAATAGTGAGATTCGAGACCAGGAATTTGGTCTACCTCCCCCCCCCCCCCCCCCCCCCCTAAACCTTAGGCTGTGAATCCAACCATGGCGTTAGTTTGGACTTAAAGTCCCTGCATCATGTCATTCGAGCGCTATATTTGAATTGTTCCCTAACAATAGTAACCTTCTATTCCTGCATCAAACCTTAACAAAAAGGGTTCTAAAATATCCCTAACACCAGTATGCATATATATGTATGCTTGCTATCAATTTGTAACATGAAAAAATAGAGATTTAAGATCACGATACCATACCAAACCGGAGTGATTGAAAATTTTGGTTCATGTGTGCGTTGAGCTTGCCTAAGGATTGGGAATGACTCCTGGGACCTTCACGGAGTGGATGGAACGCTTGGTTTGGATGTATGATGGCTGGAAATTCAGTTTCGAATTCCACAACTTTGAGATTTTTTATGATATTTTGCAGCGTTTTTGGGGCAATGTGTGCGTGTCCCGCAGGCTTGCAAAATGTTGCTTATATATAGGAGTGAGAGGAGAGGACAATCATGGAAAGAAATCAAACCGTTAAGGCATGGCTTTAATCATGAGAATCAATATTTGAAAAACTTCCAACATTACAATATTCTTGCCACTTTGGTCTTTGCATGAACCTCAAAATAAATCTTCGGAAATTTCAAAATAATTTATAAAAACTTATCCCCAGTAGAGTTTATTTCTCTAGCTACGGAAAGTCATCCCCCAGCGGAGTTTATTTCTCCAAATTAGTGAAATCTTTCAACAGAGCTCTTCACCTTGGTAAAATCATTCTCAAACAGAAGTCGAAGATCCTCGGCAAGAAAAGGGAATTTCCAACAAAACTATCTCCATTCATTATCCCCAGCGGAAATTGAAGAATTGCTTTCTTCACTCACCAACAGCAGTCCAGGATTAAGCTTCCCGACGCTCTTCAACAGTAGTCAGGGATTTATTTTCCCAGACAAAGATATTGCACAACAGCATTACATGTTCATACATCATGGCATGTGCATACAAATACATATATCATAATCTCATTTATTTTGGGATCATCATGAAATTCATACATCATGGCATCGCATGAAACTAATTTTCCCTTTTCAGGTTAAATTAGCAAACAGAAAAATACTATCAACTTTTATAGCAGGTCAAAGATTAATGCCTGAAACCAGACGGGGAAACTATCTATGTAACCAGCAAAACAAGTTTCAGATTAATACCTGTAACAAACTAGGACAACTATCTGTGGACGGTCGATTATAGATTAATACCTGAAACAAGCCAGGATAACTATCTACATAAAGAGATTGAAGATTAACACCTGAAACCAGACGAGAAAACTATCTTTCCTTCTTAAGTCAGAGATTAATACCTGAAACCAGACAAGACAACTATCTCAACGACCAAGCAAAAACATAGTTCTGGATTAACACCTGTAATAAGCCAGGAGAACCATTTGTGGACGATCGACTGTGGATCAATACCTGCAACAAGCCAGGAAAATTATCTACATAAGAAGATTGAATATTAACACCCAAAACCAGACGGGAAAACTATCTTTATTTATTGGGTTAGAGATTAATACCTGAAACCAGCCAGAACAACTATCTCAACGATCGACAATTTTTCAAATTCCATATTAATACCTGAAACCAGACAAGACAACTATCTATGAACAACTAATTGTAGATTAACACCTGAAACCAGACAGGAAAGCTATCTACATAATCAGACGAAGCAATCTTATACAGATTTCTTCTCATACAGTCTAACACAGGATCATCTTGAAGCAACCCTACACAGGCTCTTTCTAATACATTTCCAGATAACGGTTAATTCCATTATCCCCAGCAAATCACTAGAAACCCGGACTTCAACCAGAATACAACAAACGGTCATCTCTCTAGAGATAACTCTTCAGTAGAGCCTTGGAAAACTGAAGTTCCTAGACTCTATTCCTCATAGAGCTTTCCTCAAACAGGAGAACAATAGAAACCCACGTTCCCCAACGGCCTCCTCCTCAGGCAGCAGGAACAGGAACCCCAAAGGGACCATGTGTAAATCAGCATCTATTTTGGATGGCATCTTTAAGCCCATCTCTGACGACTCTCTGTCATCTTCTCCCAATGGCATCTGTAAGCCCATTCCTTACATCATCAACCATCAGTGTTATTTCATGCGAGTGCAAATTTCTGGGCACTCTAGTGTTCAATCATCTTCCACCTTCATATCACGAAAGGAAGACAAGCCAATTTAAATCCTCAGGTTTAAGAAGATTGAACAAGGGCAGATGTTGTACCCCAAAATTTTCCCTCTCATGTTTTCCAAGATTTTTTCTTATATGGGTGGACACAAGCATTTGATTAAAGGAAAAAATAAAATAATTTCAAGATAAACAAGGTCTTTCGATTGGCATGAACAAGGCATCTTTGGATTGGAATTTTGATAAGCTTCGATTGAATGCCTAACCTCCTCCAAGCTTGCCTCAATTTTCCAAGCTTCGATTGAAGCCTTGGCCTGTTTCTTGCTTGCTGTATAAAGCTTCGACTAGGCATGTGTTTCCTTTGAAACATATTCCTTAGATTCAAAAAGGAAGGGCCTCATGTTGGTGCCCCTTCGATTACACCTTTACATACTGGCTTGATTCACAATGCAATGGCTACATGCATGCAAGCTGGATTCCTGCTTCGTTTGGACATTTGGTATCTTCAAAGCATGCTTAATTCCTGCTTCGTTTGGGCATTTGGTCTCTTCAGAGCATGCTTAATTCCTGCTTCGACTAGGCAAATAATCCCTCTTCAGCCTGCCTTCAGTGCACAAGGCAAAAGGCTTCTTTCTAATTTCCTTTGATGTACAAGGCAAGAACCCCCTACAAGTGTGTTTTGATTCATTAGGACAAAAGCCCCTTCACGCCTGACTTGGATTCACTAAGACAATGACTTAGTTTGTTCTTGCCTTCAATGCACAAGGCCAAAACTCCTTCAGGGTGGCCTTTGATCCACCAGGAAAAAAGCTTCTTTTGATGCGCCAGGCAAAAACAGTTTTCCTTCGACCACAAGGCACTGGATACCTTTGTGCCAGTTTCGCTTAGGCAATGGCCTCCTTTAAGCCTGCCTTGACTTGCTTCATGCTAGCATCCACAAGGCATAGGCTACCTTGTACCAGTTTCGAGTAGGCACTGACCCCCCTTAGAAACAATTGTACACACTTCGACATGCATGATAGCCCATGCGAAGGACACGCCAAAGGCCCATTCTAAGGGTACACCAAAAGGACCATCTAAAGACCCATTTAAAGGAAGTAATTCTAGAGCCAGTCAAAGGGTACTTGTTGTACCCAAATTTTTGACCTAAGATCCCATTTTTATTTTTTGCATTTTTTTAAGATAAGTCAAGGTCACGAAATACAGTCGGTTTTAACCTCTCACCTTCGAGCTTTGACTATGCGAAGATTGTCAAGTGTTTTGAACATTTTTAGCATATGTATCACTAATTTCTAATCGCATACAAAGGTGTATGTTCATGTTTTCTTTTGTGTCATGTGCAGAGACAGGTTTGAATCAAGAGCATCAGGTGTCGCGCCTCAATTAAGGTTTTAAGTCTCCCAATCCAGAAGTACGGTTGATTGTGGATTCTCGAAGACTGATTCATCAAGGCACACCGTTGCACCCTTAATTTCGCCCCTAATATGTTTTAGTCGCACTTTCATATCATATTTTGTTATTTAGTCACGATCATTAGTAAATATCTTCACTCATCATATTTTGCATCATTAGTCGTATTTAAGTTGACCAGGAAAAGTCAGTTTAAATCAAAGTTTGCATCGTCTTTCAGTTGTAAAATACCTGACATTTCACTTCATGCATTTTTATCTCTTTACTCGTTTCTTGCATTGCTCCAAATTGTTTATATGTCGATGATAAAAATATTCTGGTTTTACAGACAGACTGTTAAAAGCAATTCGACACTATACGAAAATTAGCGAGAAAAATATTTCAAGTTCTCACCTTTTACCGATCATTTTATGAATCTGCGTCTCGCGTAGATTATGACGGTATGCTCGCTTTATTTTTTTGGTACAGTTTGAAGTCTCGTTTTTAACCGTAAACGTTTGTCCAGCCTGATATTTTTGTTCTCATTTTATTTCGATTTTGATCATTTTAATATTTTTTTTATTTATCTTTCAGACATGTAGTTTATTTTAATGTGTTCATTTCATTTTTTCGGATAGATTTTTGTCCATTTTTTACCGTTTTTAGTCATCTTGGGTCTCTATTTTTTATATTCAAAAATAAATACAATTTGTTTTTTTTAATTGAGTTAATTTTATACTTTTAGGTTTTAAGTTATTTTTATCATTAAAGGGCTTTTCTGTCATAAAAAAATGTTTGTTACACTTTGCTTTGCTCTCATTAGTTGTAAGCAAGAGTTGCGGATCGATAGGAAAAAGAAAAAAAAGGATAGCAGTAAACAACTTATACCCTTCTCTCTCCTCACGTTCATCACACAAACTCCCTTTCATTTCTTCACAAACAGCACCATCCAAACACTCCCTCTATTTCCCTTCACTACCATTCACAAAAACAACAACATAAACCAATTCTCCAATCCATCTCTCTTCCCTGCTTGTACTTGTCTCTCAGCAATCTTTCTGTTTCACTGGTACCAAACATATTGTACATACCTACCCTCGTAAACCCCAACGCTGGAAAATCTCATTTATCATTGTTTCTTCTCTCTTTACTCACAAGCCTTACCTCAACGCCGTTTCTCTCGCACCGAAATGGCTCCGAAGTGGGGAATCAAGTTCGCCGTCTACCTCATCACCAACCACTTCGGAAAAATCGTCGCTAAAGTTTGCGAAAATCTACTTGACCATGGCGCTCTCACTCTGGACCTGGTTATTCGATACACGGAACTTTCCCCGGAGCATGTTAAGAACTCATTGCTTGTGTTGATTAAACATAATTGCGTCCAGGTTTTTGTTGCTCAAGGTGGTGATGAAGATGGGTCAAGAGCTAAGACGCAATACATGGTGTTGTTTGATAACATACTCCATCGATTAAGATTTCCGAAATTCATAGAGATAGTGTCGGGGGAACTTGATGACAAATGTGCAAAATTTTTTGAAGGTTTGCTCCGCGATGGTATACTTAACACGAAACAGATGGTTGATAGAGAAAGTCAAGGAAAAGAAAATGCGGTGGCTGCAGCTGCTGTACGAGAGAGCCTTCTTAAACTTCTGATGGCTCGATATGTTGAGCGTTGTCCACTCCCTGAGGCTAGGATAGTTGAAGGAGAAATTATTACTAAGAAGCGTGGTGCTAAGGGGGCCCAGGATGTAATAGTGATGGAGAAACAAATCCAGCTGATACAAGCGTTGCAGAAAATAATGCAAAAGAGGACTTAATTCTTTGGCGTGCAAATTTTGAGGAGTTCACGCGTCATCTCAGGGATAAGGCACATATTAAGAATCTTGAAGAAAAGGAACAAGGGAATGCTGTTTCATAGATAAGTTTTTTTCATTTTGTTTGTAACTTTGTTTTATAGTTTTTATGTTACAATGTTTCTTTTTGTTTCTTACGTTTGAGTATGTATGTTTGTTTATGTTCAAAATAATAATAATAATAATAATATAAAAAAAATATTAGTAAATCTTATATTTAGATTTAGTTTAGTATTAATTTAGATTTTTTTTAATTAGCTTAGATGTATTTTATAACTTTAAAATATTTAGAATTATAATTAATAATTTTAGAATCTTAATTTAATTAGATATAAATTAGTAATGTTAGAACCTTTAATTAGTTTAGATACATTTTGATAACTTTAGAATTTTAATTTAATCTTAGAATTTTTAATCTTTAATTTAGAATTAATTTAGTTTTGACTTAAGTTAGTAATTTTATTATTAATATAGTTTAGATTAACTTAGTAATTTTATAATGAATTTAGTTTATACTTAAACTAGTTTAGATGCAATTTAGCAACTTTAGAATTAATTTAGTTTAGACCTAATTCAGTAATATTAGAGTGTTAATTTATTTTAGATTTAATTTAATAACTTTCGAATTTCAGTTAGTAACTTTAGAGTTTTAATTTAGTTAATAAACTTCAAAATTTTATTTAGTTAGACACTTTAGAATTTAAGTTTAGTTTACTTAGTAACCTTAGAATTTCAAATTAGTTTAGATAATTTTTTTATTTACACTTTTCTTTTATTCATGATTCTTCGTCCGTTCATTTAGTTTCTTATAAATTAAGCTTGTTATCTGTCTTGCTTGTTTCTCGTGGATTTTTTTTAAATTATTTATGCTTTCTTGTTCGAATATTAGATCTACTTGCTTATGATTAACTCCAAGGAAAAGATTTAAACTTTGTTGACTTCACGTCATCAAATACGTCTTCTACAATCGTGCGAATAGCCTCATTCATTTTTGCTTGTTTACTATTTTTCCAAACTTAAGATAATTTTCCCAAAAGACTCCATTTTCAAACTCACACCTTTTAAGTCAAAACTTCGACACTAGGTCGTCGTATCTTCAAAAATCTCGTCCATACCCATTTTGACCAAATAAACCATTTTAATCAAACAAACAATTTTAACCAAAAAAACAGATATTTCAAAAGGTTCCTGCGGAGTACCGCAGATGCATTGGGTGCTAATACCTTCCCATTGTATAACCAACCCCCGAACTCTCGATCTCTTTCAAAACGCATCGTATTTTCATTACTTTTAAGTATTATTTTACATTGCATATTTTAGGGTTTTATTTCGCTCTTTTCCCTTTTCCATTGGAAATAATAAAGCGCGGTGGCGACTCTTGCTTTTGCGAGTCAAGTTAATTAATAGCTTGATCTCCGATTTTCACCGCTACAGTACTTAAGAGGTACATTTGAATAAGCACGCAGAAGGCCCAGTCGAAGGCTAAACAAGAGGTCCAGTCGAAATAGACAACTTGAGGCCAGTCGAAGAGCAACATTAGAGGGCATTCGAAGGAGCCATGTCCAAGTTCATTTAAATTCAAAAAGGGACAAGTTTACATGACTTTTGCAACGTTACAAAACACCATTCATGGCTTTGAAAACACTTGTTTATGGTTGTTTAAACCTTTGCCTTCTTGTCCCCTCCATCCCTTCTATATAAAGAAGACACTAGAAAGCTCAAAGGAGGTTGGACACAACAGGAGGGAGAGTCACACGAAATCAAAAACATATTCTTGGAAGTTTTCTGAGGCTTTTCCAATCATCCCCAACCCTTAAGAAAACGTCCCTATGTCCAGAAGTCAAATCGAAGCAATCCTCAAACAAGGATACCGACGCCCGAATTCATACATCACCCTTGGTAAGAATGGGTAACAAGATCAAACTTACATTTGTATGACATATTGGCATTTATAATTTTATTCGATCTATATTCAAGATTAATGACCTGGGTTTGACACCCATGTCTACATTTGTTTTGTTGCTAACACTTGCTGCAGATGTAGCCTGAATAGAACCAACGAGTGCATAATCGAAATACCTGAGTTTGGAACTCAGGTCATGCTTTTCATTTTTGAAAACATGTGTTTCATATGTAGTGCCATCATAAGTGATCCATCAGGAAATTCCAGCAGCGCCTTCTGGATCGAAAGCCACATCCTGTCACTAGATCAAAGGGTAATCGAAAGACAGCTTTCCCTTCATAGAGTCAAAAGGCACCATCTCCCTGCAATCGAAGGATGCTTCCTTTTCTATTTTTATTTTTGTTTTCATTTCTTTATTAACCCTCTTTTATTTAAATTGACCTTAAATCAAAAATCACAAAAAAAAATATTAGGCTAGTTGCTTTTTCTAATTAAATTAATTTTATAAATAAATTAATTAATTATTTTAACCTCTTTCTTGAAATTTAAACTAAATAGACTTAGGTTATATTTTCTTAAAATAAAAACAAAACAAAAAGATTTCTTTTCCTTAGGATTTAGACGTCCATTTTAATTTGCGCGCATTTATTTTATTCTCGCATTTTTATAATGATGTAACTGCTTATAAGATGTAATAGTAATTAGGCTTTATTTTCTGCTTTTAATTTCTGCTTTATCCCCCCTCATTCTTGTACAATATAAATCCCCTCCCCAAAGCATTGTAATAACATAGATTTAAATTCCTGCACTTTAATATTCTGCAATATATATTAACTGCTAGTAACTAGGCGTGTATGAAAAGACTGAAATTAAACGTTAGCAAACTTAACAAAAAGACAAAAATAATTTAATATAACACATTTGCACATATATACCTCTAGGGTACCCCACTTTGGTTTCCTTCAGAAATAAAACAGTCATGAGGCAGGAACGCTTTAGCAAAGACCCATAAATTAAAAGATCATAGTTCCTCGATGACCCTACAGTTGCCTTCTCGGTAAATGATCTAGTCCCTAAACAAAATTTCTAAAGCGTCTCCACAAGTTGCCTTTGTGACTGTAATGTCCCTTCGAATGTCCCTTTTACATCCAACGATAGGGATACCTACTCACTGATAGTAGGATAGCGCTGTATAAAGGATAGGAGGAAAAGAACGACCCTTTTCGAGTATAAAAGTAGATAGTTGTTAGAAGTTTGCTCAAAAACATTTTGCACTTACACAAATACTACTTTTCAAAAGCAATTTTCAAAACATTTGCTTAATTAACACTCTTAAGGACTGATACAAGAGTTAAAGCAAAGCAAATCGCTGCACTAAGTCATTCTCAAAACATTTTCAAACACACAAATCACAAAATTATTTCAAAATGAGTAAACCTCTAAGAGCCCATAGATAACTACAGATGGAAAGGGTGCTAACACCTTCCCTTTCCATAATCTACCCCCCTTACTCAAAAAACTCTCGAAAGTTCTTTTTCTGTTCTTTTCACCCTTTCCTTTGTTGGATAAAAAAAACCTAGTGGCGACTCTTTCTTACCACAACATTTGCAAACACAAACGCAAAACTAGTATTAAACAGTCGGTTCTACCACCGTATCACATGTGGATCCAAGACCTTTGAAATTCTTCAAAGTTTGTTGGCATATCAGGATGAAGAATGATGTGAGACTCGTCGCCTTGCACTTTAGGCTCTAAGATCACTGGTAAGATGGCAATATATGACATCACAATACTTTGAGCACGAGCTCGCACCCATTTGAGGTAAGGTTCCAAAGGGATGAAGTTCATGTGCCCTAAAGTCTTACTATCAGTCTTCTTAACCATGCCCCAAGCGCGGATGAACCTCTGATGATAACCTTGCAGATCTTTTGAATAGTAGAACACAATATCTTGGATGATAATATCAGGAGGACCATCTATATGTGCATAACCAAACTAACATAGGGCTAAAGAAGGGTTGTAGGTGATGCCTCCTCTAATTCCAAAGAGTGGCACATTAGGAAATTCTCCGCAGCGATCAATAAAAGAGATGTCTTCTTGAAAGCGAGAACACCAATAGATATCAGAGTGAGAAAGAGAAATTAACCTTTGATTCCACCTTAAGCCTAACTCATTCTTCATTACTGATCGAGGAAGGTGCAAAATAAACCACCTGTAGAGCAGAGGCATACAACATATAAGAGTTCCTCGTTTCTTCATAGTACGGGTGTGGAGTGAATGCAAAATATTCCCGAGAAATATAGGTACTGGATTGTGAGTAAGGAAAATGTTGATGGAATTTACGTCTATAAGTTGGTCTGAATTAGGGATCAAAACCAACCCATAGATCAAGAGAGCCAAGATATCTTCAAAAGTATGGTAACTCATGGCGTCTAGGAATACCTGAGCTTTCTCCATCAGAAACTTTGCAAGAAGACCTTTAACTCCACTTCTTCTTTCCAACTTGGATTCAATGTCAGGTGGCTTCAAGTGTAAGGCTATGTCAACATCTTCAGCAGTTGGATCTTGTTCTAAACAGGTGAAAGGTATCCCCTCCAATATAGACAAATCAATTAGCTTAGAGAATTCTTCCAGCGTGGGCACCAACTGATAATCTGGAAATGTGAAGAAATGGTGCTTAGGATCGAAGAACTGGAATAGGACGCTCATTAAACCTTTTTCAAAACTGGTAGTAACCAAACTGAGCAAGCGACCATATCTTTTGTTGAATGGTGAGTGTTGTACCCCAAAATTTACCCTCCCATTTTTCACAAGACATCACAACCCTAAGGGTTTTCTCAGATTTTCAAGATTGGCTCAGGAATCGATCAGACAGATTTTTCTTTGGCAGTAGATCAAGAATTAGGGTTTTTCTCGCATTTCTCAGAAGAAACTGAATTCTCAGAAATTCAATTAACTGTCACATGTTTTCACACTTTTTCAAGTTTACTAAAAGGTTACTGGTTGTTCTCAAGGCCTGTTTATCTGGGACAAGAACTGGGAGTTGAGACTGTCATTTGGA